AGTTCTGTGGTGGAGATGACTGTAGCATGACTGATAGTTCTATGGTGGAGATGACTGTAGGCATGCTACTGATAGTTCTATGGTGGAGATGACTGTAGGCATGCTACCGATAGTTCTGTGGTGGAGATGACTGTAGGCATGCTATGATAGTTCTGTGGTGGAGATGACTGTAGGCATGCTACTGATAGTTCTATGGTGGAGATGACTGTAGGCATGCTACTGATAGTTCTGTGGTGGAGATGACTGTAGGCATGCTACTGATAGTTCTATGGTGGAGATGACTGTAGGCATGCTACTGATAGTTCTGTGGTGGAGATGACTGTAGGCATGCTACCGATAGTTCTGTGGTGGAGATGACTGTAGGCATGCTACCGATAGTTCTGTGGTGGAGATGACTGTAGGCATGCTACTGATAGTTCTATGGTGGAGATGACTGTAGGCATGCTACTGATAGTTCTATGGTGGAGATGACTGTAGGCATGCTACTGATAGTTCTGTGGTGGAGATGACTGTAGGCATGCTACTGATAGTTCTATGGTGGAGATGACTGTAGGCATGCTACTGATAGTTCTATGGTGGAGATGACTGTAGGCATGCTACTGATAGTTCTATGGTGGAGATGACTGTAGGCATGCTACTGATAGTTCTGTGGTGGAGATGACTGTAGGCATGCTACTGATAGTTCTGTGGTGGAGATGACTGTAGGCATGCTACCGATAGTTCTGTGGTGGAGATGACTGTAGGCATGCTACTGATAGTTCTGTGGTGGAGATGACTGTAGGCATGCTACCTGATAGTTCTATGGTGGAGATGACTGTAGGCATGCTACCGATAGTTCTATGGTGGAGATGACTGTAGGCATGCTACTGATAGTTCTATGGTGGAGATGACTGTAGGCATGCTACTGATAGTTCTATGGTGGAGATGACTGTAGGCATGCTACTGATAGTTCTGTGGTGGAGATGACTGTAGGCATGCTACTGATAGTTCTATGGTGGAGATGACTGTAGGCATGCTACTGATAGTTCTGTGGTGGAGATGACTGTAGGCATGCTACTGATAGTTCTGTGGTGGAGATGACTGTAGGCATGCTACTGATAGTTCTATGGTGGAGATGACTGTAGGCATGCTACTGATAGTTCTGTGGTGGAGATGACTGTAGGCATGCTACTGATAGTTCTATGGTGGAGATGACTGTAGGCATGCTACTGATAGTTCTATGGTGGAGATGACTGTAGGCATGCTACTGATAGTTCTATGGTGGAGATGACTGTAGGCATGCTACTGATAGTTCTGTGGTGGAGATGACTGTAGGCATGCTACTGATAGTTCTATGGTGGAGATGACTGTAGGCATGCTACTGATAGTTCTGTGGTGGAGATGACTGTAGGCATGCTACTGATAGTTCTATGGTGGAGATGACTGTAGGCATGCTACTGATAGTTCTGTGGTGGAGATGACTGTAGGCATGCTACTGATAGTTCTGTGGTGGAGATGACTGTAGGCATGCTACTGATAGTTCTATGGTGGAGATGACTGTAGGCATGCTACTGATAGTTCTATGGTGGAGATGACTGTAGGCATGCTACTGATAGTTCTATGGTGGAGATGACTGTAGGCATGCTACTGATAGTTCTGTGGTGGAGATGACTGTAGGCATGCTACTGATAGTTCTGTGGTGGAGATGACTGTAGGCATGCTACTGATAGTTCTATGGTGGAGATGACTGTAGGCATGCTACTGATAGTTCCATGGTGGAGATGACTGTAGGCATGCTACTGATAGTTCTGTGGTGGAGATGACTGCAGGCATGCTACTGATAGTTCTGTGGTGGAGATGACTGTAGGCATGCTACTGATAGTTCTGTGGTGGAGATGACTGTAGGCATGCTACTGATAGTTCTATGGTGGAGATGACTGTAGGCATGCTACTGATAGTTCTATGGTGGAGATGACTGTAGGCATGCTACTGATAGTTCTGTGGTGGAGATGACTGTAGGCATGCTACTGATAGTTCCTATGGTGGAGATGACTGTAGGCATGCTACTGATAGTTCTATGGTGGAGATGACTGTAGGCATGCTACTGATAGTTCTGTGGTGGAGATGACTGTAGGCATGCTACTGATAGTTCTGTGGTGGAGATGACTGTAGGCATGCTACTGATAGTTCTATGGTGGAGATGACTGTAGGCATGCTACCTGATAGTTCTATGGTGGAGATGACTGTAGGCATGCTACTGATAGTTCTATGGTGGAGATGACTGTAGGCATGCTACTGATAGTTCTGTGGTGGAGATGACTGTAGGCATGCTACTGATAGTTCTGTGGTGGAGATGACTGTAGGCATGCTACTGATAGTTCTATGGTGGAGATGACTGTAGGCATGCTACTGATAGTTCTATGGTGGAGATGACTGTAGGCATGCTACTGATAGTTCTATGGTGGAGATGACTGTAGGCATGCTACTGATAGTTCTGTGGTGGAGATGACTGTAGGCATGCTACTGATAGTTCTATGGTGGAGATGACTGTAGGCATGCTACTGATAGTTCTATGGTGGAGATGACTGTAGGCATGCTACTGATAGTTCTATGGTGGAGATGACTGTAGGCATGCTACTGATAGTTCTGTGGTGGAGATGACTGTAGGCATGCTACTGATAGTTCTATGGTGGAGATGACTGTAGGCATGCTACTGATAGTTCTGTGGTGGAGATGACTGTAGGCATGCTACCGATAGTTCTATGGTGGAGATGACTGTAGGCATGCTACTGATAGTTCTATGGTGGAGATGACTGTAGGCATGCTACTGATAGTTCTGTGGTGGAGATGACTGTAGGCATGCTACTGATAGTTCTATGGTGGAGATGACTGTAGGCATGCTACTGATAGTTCTATGGTGGAGATGACTGTAGGCATGCTACCGATAGTTCTGTGGTGGAGATGACTGTAGGCATGCTACTGATAGTTCTGTGGTGGAGATGACTGTAGGCATGCTACCGATAGTTCTATGGTGGAGATGACTGTAGGCATGCTACTGATAGTTCTGTGGTGGAGATGACTGTAGGCATGCTACTGATAGTTCTATGGTGGAGATGACTGTAGGCATGCTACTGATAGTTCTGTGGTGGAGATGACTGTAGGCATGCTACCAATAGTTCTGTGGTGGAGATGACTGTAGGCATGCTACCGATAGTTCTGTGGTGGAGATGACTGTAGGCATGCTACCGATAGTTCTATGGTGGAGATGACTGTAGGCATGCTACTGATAGTTCTATGGTGGAGATGACTGTAGGCATGCTACTGATAGTTCTGTGGTGGAGATGACTGTAGGCATGCTACTGATAGTTCTATGGTGGAGATGACTGTAGGCATGCTACTGATAGTTCTATGGTGGAGATGACTGTAGGCATGCTACTGATAGTTCTATGGTGGAGATGACTGTAGGCATGCTACTGATAGTTCTGTGGTGGAGATGACTGTAGGCATGCTACTGATAGTTCTGTGGTGGAGATGACTGTAGGCATGCTACTGATAGTTCTGTGGTGGAGATGACTGTAGGCATGCTACTGATAGTTCTGTGGTGGAGATGACTGTAGGCATGTTACTGATTGTTCTATGGTGGAGATGACTGTAGGCATGCTACTGTTAGTTCTATGGTGGAGATGACTGTAGGCATGCTACTGATAGTTCTATGGTGGAGATGACTGTAGGCATGCTACTGCTAGTTCTATGGTGGAGATGACTGTAGGCATGCTACTGATAGTTCTGTGGTGGAGATGACTGTAGGCATGCTACTGATAGTTCTATGGTGGAGATGACTGTAGGCATGCTACTGATAGTTCTGTGGTGGAGATGACTGTAGGCATGCTACTGATAGTTCTGTGGTGGAGATGACTGTAGGCATGCTACTGATAGTTCTATGGTGGAGATGACTGTAGGCATGCTACTGATAGTTCTGTGGTGGAGATGACTGTAGGCATGTTACTGATAGTTCTATGGTGGAGATGACTGTAGGCATGCTACTGATAGTTCTATGGTGGAGATGACTGTAGGCATGCTACTGATAGTTCTATGGTGGAGATGACTGTAGGCATGCTACTGATAGTTCTGTGGTGGAGATGGGTGTAGGCATGCTACTGATAGTTCTGTGGTGGAGATGACTGTAGGCATGCTACTGATAGTTCTATGGTGGAGATGACTGTAGGCATGCTACTGATAGTTCTATGATGGAGATGACTGTAGGCATGCTACTGATAGTTCTGTGGTGGAGATGACTGTAGGCATGCTACTGATAGTTCTGTGGAGATGGGTGTAGGCATGCTACTGATAGTTCTATGGTGGAGATGACTGTAGGCATGCTACTGATAGTTCTATGGTGGAGATGACTGTAGGCATGCTACTGATAGTTCTATGATGGAGATGACTGTAGGCATGCTACTGATACTTCTATGATGGAGATGACTGTAGGCATGCTACTGATAGTTCTATGGTGGAGATGACTGTAGGCATGCTACTGATAAATCTCTGGTTGAGATGACTGTAGGCATGCTACTCACCTGTTATGATGGAGGTTACTGTAGGCATGCTACTCACCTGTTAATGTGGAGGTTACTGTAGGCATGCTACTCACCTGTTATGACAGAGGTTACTGTAGGCATGCTACTTACCTGTTATGATTGAGGTTACTGTAGACATGCTACTCACCTGTTATGACAGAGGTTACTGTAGGCATGCTATTCACCTGTTATGATGGAGGTTACTGTAGGCATGCTACTCACCAGTTATGATGGAGGTTACTGTAGGCATGCTACTCACCTGTTATGATGGAGGTTACTGTAGGCATGCTACTCACCTGTTAATGTGGAGGTTACTGTTGGCATTCTACTCACCTGTTATGATGGAAGTTACTGTAGGCATGCTACTCACCTGTTATGATGGAGGTTACTGTAGGCATGCTACTCACCTGTTAATGTGGAGGTTACTGTAGGCATGCTACTCACCCAGCTATGTAACCAAAGTGCTGTAAATAGTCCGTCCTCCGGCCACATGCTGACACCTCAGTGTACGAGTGGTTGAGCAGTGTCTGCAGCAATGATACAAACACAGACAATCTAGAAGATTACAGATCAGCGCAATTTTATTATGGAGCCAAATCTGTTTGACCTTGCTGTTTAACTCTGTTCTATATAACATGTCAGGTATTGAGTGGCAGGCTGTATGAAAGTGTCTGGTGCAGGTAAGTGCAAGTGTCTAGTGCAGCTGAAAGTAAGCATCTGGTGCAGCTAAGTGCAAGTATCTGGCGCAGCTGAAAGCAAGTGTCTGGTGCAGATAAAACCAAGTGTCTGGTGCAGCTGAAGGCAAGTGTCTAGTGCAGATGAAAGCAAGTGCTTGGTGAAGATGAAAGCAAGTGTCTGGTGCAGATGAAAGCAAATGCTTGGTGAAGATGAAAGCAAGTGTCTGGTGCAGATAAAACCAAGTGTCTGGTGCAGCTGAAGGCAAGTGTCTAGTGCAGATGAAAGCAAGTGCTTGGTGAAGATGAAAGCAAGTGTCTGGTGCAGATGAAAGCAAATGCTTGGTGAAGATGAAAGCAAGTGTCTGGTGCAGATGAAAGCAAGTGTCTGGTGCAGATGAAAGCAAGTGCTTGGTGAAGATGAAAGCAAGTGCTTGGTGAAGATGAAAGCAAGTGCTTGGTGAAGATGAAAGCACTGTAACAAATATTTCGCAATGCACAATGCCACTCACAATCAGTTAAATGGGAATAGCTACATACAGTTTTGGTTGAGGAATATGGACTTGAGCCCTATTTATGGTGCCAGGTACATATCTGTATTTTGACGTTGTTTAGGGGTTTGTATCTGTAGTACCTGTGTCGACAACACCCCCTTCAGCTCAAATGCATGTGTGGTGCAGCCAAATGTAGGTCTGCGTGTGTTACCATAGATCTGGCATAAGCACCAGTAACCACAGGCTGGTCATGTGATCAAGTCCACTCACAAAGAACAGAAAAGATCTTCACATAGCAAGTGATTGTGAACGTGGCATTGGCTTGGGAATAACTTCAATCAGTCCTTCATTCAAAGTTTAAGGCAACCAAGAACTTAGGCTACCCCAAATGACAACCTTGACATGGGTGTGTTGAAATCTGCCACGACCTACCTTGCCAGTCTCTGTGTTCGTAACGATGATGCCCGTCTCAGAAGTCTCCACTGTTACTCCCTGGCAACAACAGGAACAACGTATCAGGTTCGGTCTCATTATCATAGAACCAACGATAGCTCCAAGCAGGCATGTTGGCTACTGTGGGAATGTCACACTAAACCCTTCTGGGGCCTATCACCATAAATCATCCCACACAAGTCCTTCATATGGCATAGTTACTAATTACCATTACAGACAGTTACCCATCCTGCCCCCTCCACCACCCATCCCACCTCACACAACACCAGACAGTTACCCGACCCTGCCCCCTCCACCACCCATCCCACCTCACACAACACCAGACAGTTACCCGATCCTGCCCCAGACAGACAGCTCATTGGGCACAGTTCCCCACACAACACCAGACAGTTACCCATCCTGCCCCCACCACCACCCATCCCACCTCACACAACACCAGACAGTTACCCGATCCTGCCCCAGACAGACAGCTCATTGGGCACAGTTCCCCACACAACACCAGACAGTTACCCATCCTGCCCCCTCCACCACCCATCCCACCTCACACAACGGCAGACAGTTACCCGATCCTGCCCCAGACAGACAGCTCATTGGGCACAGTTCCCCACACAACACCAGACAGTTACCCGATCCTGCCCCCTCCACCACCCATCCCACCTCACACAACACCAGACAGTTACCCGATCCTGCCCCTCACCACCACCCATCCCACCTCACACAACACCAGACAGTTACCCGATCCTGCCCCAGACAGACAGCTCATTGGGCACAGTTCCCACACAACACCAGACAGTTACCCGACCCCCCCCTCCACCACCCATCCCACCTCACACAACACCAGACAGTTACCCGATCCTGCCCCTCCACCACCCATCCCACCTCACACAACACCAGACAGTTACCCGATCCTGCCCCTCCACCACCCATCCCACCTCACACAACACCAGACAGTTACCCGATCCTGCCCCCTCCACCACCCATCCCACCTCACACAACACCAGACAGTTACCCGATCCTGCCCCCTCCACCACCCATCCCACCTCACACAACGGCAGACAGTTACCCGATCCTGCCCCAGACAGACAGCTCATTGGGCACAGTTCCCCACACAACACCAGACAGTTACCCGACCCTGCCCCCTCCACCACCCATCCCACCTCACACAACACCAGACAGTTACCCGATCCTGCCCCCTCCACCACCCATCCCACCTCACACAACACCAGACAGTTACCCGATCCTGCCCCTCCACCACCCATCCCACCTCACACAACACCAGACAGTTACCCGATCCTGCCCCCTCCACCACCCATCCCACCTCACACAACACCAGACAGTTACCCATCCTGCTCTCCACCACCCCCTCCACCACCCATCCCACCTCACACAACACCAGACAGTTACCCGATCCTCCACCACCCTCCCACCCATCCCACCTCACACAACGGCAGACAGTTACCCGATCCTGCCCCAGACAGACAGCTCATTGGGCACAGTTCCCCACACAACACCAGACAGTTACCCGACACCTGCCCCTCCACCACCCATCCCACTCTCACACAACACCAGACAGTTACCCGATCCTGCACCAGACAGACAGCTCATTGGGCACAGTTCCCCACACAACACCAGACAGTTACCCCATCCTGCCCCCTCCACTACCCATCCCACCTCACACAACACCAGACAGTTACCCGACCCTGCCCCTCCACTACCCATCCCACCTCACACAACACCAGACAGTTATCCGATCCTGCCCCCTCCACCACCCATCCCACCTCACACAACACCAGACAGTTACCCGATCCTGCCCCTCCACCACCCATCCCACCTCACACAACACCAGACAGTTACCCGATCCTGCCCCTCCACCACCCATCCCACCCCACACAACACCAGACAGTTACCCGATTCCTGCCCCTCCACCACCCATCCCACCTCACACAACACCAGACAGTTAACCGATCCTGCCCCTCCACCACCCATCCCACCTCACACAACACCAGACAGTTACCCGACCCTGCCCCTCCACCACCCATCCCACCTCACACAACACCAGACAGTTACCCGATCCTGCCCCTCCACCACCTATCCCACCTCACACAACACCAGACAGTTACCCCGATCCTGCCCCTCCACCACCCATCCCACCTCACACAACACCAGACAGTTACCCCATCCTGCCCCTTCCACCACCCATCCCACCTCACACAACACCAGACAGTTACCCGATCCTGCCCCAGACAGACAGCTCATTGGGCACAGTTCCCCACACAACACCAGACAGTTACCCGACCCTGCCCCCTCCACCACCCATCCCACCTCACACAACACCAGACAGTTACCCGATCCTGCCCCTCCACCACCCATCCCACCTCACACAACACCAGACAGTTACCCGATCCTGCCCCCTCCACCACCCATCCCACCTCACACAACACCAGACAGTTACCCGATCCTGCCCCCTCAACCACACATCCCACCTCACACAACATCAGACAGTTACCCCATCCTGCCCCTCCACCACCCATCCCACCCCATCAAAGACAGTTCCCCACCCTACCCACACAACATCAGACAGTTACTCCATCCTGCCCCCTCCACCACCCATCCCACCCCATCAAAGACAGTTCCCCACCCTACTCCCCACACAACATCAGACAGTTACCCCATCCTGCCTCCTCCACCACCCATCCCACCCCATCAAAGACAGTTCCCCCACCCTACCCCACCAAACAGTTACCCCATCCTGCCCCTCCCTCACCCATCCCACCCCATCTAAGACAGTTCCCCACCCTATCCCACACAACACCAGACAGTTCCAAACCCTACCACCTCCCCATATGAAGCAGGCACCCACCTTTGGGTTCTTCCGAGAAGAGTTGACGATGTTGACAACAGCATCTTCTATCCTGTCGACTCTGCCATCCTGGAGACAGAGAAAACACACACTAACCACACAGCTCATTCGGCACTCAGCTCATCACATTCTCAACACACAGTTCCGTCAGACAGACACACAGATAGAGAAAACACACATACACGACACAGCTCATTGGGCACTCAGCTCATCACATTCTCAACACACAGTTCCGTCAGACAGACACACAGATAGAGAAAACACACATACACATAGACACAGCTCATTGGGCACTCAGCTCGTCACATTCTCAACACACAGTTCCGACAGAGAGACAGACAGACAGACAGAGAAAATACATACTCACCACACAGCTCATTGGGCACTCAGCTCGTCACATTCTCAACACACAGTTCCGACAGTCAGACAGACAGAGAAAACACACACTCACCAAACAGCTCATTGGGCACTCAGCTCATCACATTCTCAACACACAGTTCCGACAGACAGTCAGACAGACAGAGAAAACACACACTAACCACACAGCTCATTGGGCACTCAGCTTGTCACTTTCTCAACACACAAATCCGACAGACAGTCAGTCAGACAGAGAAAGACAGACAGACACACAGACAGACACACAGACAGCTCGTCACATTCTCAACATATTTTTGTATACATTTAGGTGGGCATATGATGTATGTTCCACGAATTTCATTTATATGGCAGCTATCTGTAAATAATCGATTATGGAGCAGGCATTCAACAACATGATTATAGATCTATGTACTTGGGATACAATGACATGTGTCAAGAAAGTCAGCCAGCCTGTTCATCTGGCCCTGTTAGTAGTCTCTTGCGACTTGCACACGCTGCTTGAGACCAATGCTAACCAGAAACTTCACAGGCATGTGTGGCAAGAGGTGTGATTGCTGACAAATAGCCTGTTGAATGGACAGGCAAATATTCTGAGGATTGTTAAAACATGAAAGCTATATAAGCATTAAGAAAGTGGACTGATAAAAATGTGAAAAGGCTACACAGTGAGTAGTAGAGCAAAATGAGGACTTACAGTTCCAAGGAATACCTCGCCCAGGTAGGTGACGGTGTACACAGCCCTGAAAGGAGAAAACAGGTGGAGTTATCCAGGCAGGTGACGGTGTACACAGCCACTAATGTACTTTTCAAGTACCTTTCAGTTTCTCCATAGTAGACATCTGTTAATTTTGTTTCATACACACATCAATACGTGCACTTAAAGTCATGCAACCCGTAATATAATAATTGACATTTATGGAAGAACAATTAATATCACATCGACCACAGAAAACGCCGTTGTTTCTCAAAGATCCAGTGCTACCCCCACAAGCTTTTGTATGTGTTTCTGCTTCACTGACATATACCAACAGACAGTGGCCTGGGCTCACCTGCCATCTGGGCCATGTACTGGTAACTCATCCTTCTCATCCTCTGGGAGGAGAGCATGGGCAGGCATCCTGTGGTCACTGTTGTCACTGTTCTGCTGCTGCTGCTGTTGTCGCCGTCTCAGTGTTTCATTGAGAACAGCTTGTGGGTCCATGTCCAGCTGACGGAGCAGCTTTGAAATTGGACGAAATATCTGACCGTGGGCATCGACACTCTGTCAAGAAATAAAATATTACGTTCATTATTGACATCACATATTCTAGTGAGTGAACCCCATACCTTACAGTTGCAGGGTAGATCCCCAGACCTTACAGTTGCAGGGTAGATCCCCAGAGCTTACAGTTGCAGGGTAGAACCCCAGACCTTACAGTTGCAGGGTAGATCCCCAGACCTTACAGTTGCAGGGTAGAACCCCAGACCTTACAGTTGCAGGGTAGAACCCCAGACCTTACAGTTGCAGGGTAGATCCCCAGACCTTACAGTTGCAGGGTAGAACCCCAGACCTTACAGTTGCAGGGTAGAACCCCAGACCTTACAGTTGCAGGGTAGAACCCCAGACCTTACAGTTACAGGGTAGAACCCCAGACCTTACAGTTGCAGGGTAGAACCCCAGACCTTACAGTTGCAGGGTAGAACCCCAGACCTTACAGTTGCAGGGTAGAAGCCCAGACCTTACAGTTGCAGGGTAGAACCCCAGACCTTATAGTTGCAGGGTAGAAGCCCAGACCTTTTAGTTGCAGGGTAGAACCCCAGACCTTACAGTTGCAGGGTAGAACCCCAGACCTTACAGTTGCAGGGTAGAACCCCAGACCTTACAGTTACAGGGTAGAACCCCAGACCTTACAGTTGCAGGGTAGAACCCCAGACCTTACAGTTGCAGGGTAGAACCCCTGACCTTACAGTTACAGGGTAGAACCCCAGACCTTACAGTTGCAGGGTAGAACCCCAGACCTTACAGTTGCAGGGTAGAACCCCAGACCTTACAGTTGCAGGGTAGAACCCCAGACCTTACAGTTGCAGGGTAGAACCCCAGACCTTACAGTTGCAGGGTAGAACCCCAGACCTTACAGTTGCAGGGTAGAACCCCAGACCTTACAGTTGCAGGGTAGAACCCCAGACCTTACAGTTACAGGGTAGAACCCCAGACCTTACAGTTGCAGGGTAGAACCCCAGACCTTACAGTTACAGGGTAGAACCCCAGACCTTACAGTTGCAGGGTAGAACCCCAGACCTTATAGTTGCAGGGTAGAACCCCAGACCTTACAGTTGCAGGGTAGAACCCCAGACCTTACAGTTGCAGGGTAGAACCCCAGACCTTACAGTTGCAGGGTAGAACCCCAGACCTTACAGTTGCAGGGTAGAACCCCAGACCTTACAGTTGCAGGGTAGAACCCCAGACCTTACAGTTGCAGGGTAGAACCCCAGACCTTATAGTTACAGGGTAGAACCCCAGACCTTACAGTTGCAGGGTAGAACCCCAGACTTACAGTTGCAGGGTAGAACCCCAGACCTTTTAGTTGCAGGGTAGAACCCCAGACCTTACAGTTGCAGGGTAGAACCCCAGACCTTACAGTTGCAGGGTAGAACCCCAGACCTTACAGTTGCAGGGTAGAACCCCAGACCCTACAGTTGCAGGGTAGAACCCCAGACCTTACAGTTGCAGGGTAGAACCCCAGACCTTACAGTTGCAGGGTAGAACCCCAGACCTTACAGTTGCAGGGTAGAACCCCAGACCTTACAGTTGCAGGGTAGAACCCCCAGAACCCCAGACCTTACAGTTGCAGGGTAGGGAACCCCAGACCTACAGTTGCAGGGTAGAACCCCAGACCTTACAGTTGCAGGGTGCAGGCAGAACCCCAGACCTTACAGTTGCAGGGTAGAACCCCAGACCTTACAGTTGCAGGGTAGAACCCCAGACCCTACAGTTGCAGGGTAGAACCCCAGAGCTTACAGTTGCAGGGTAGAATTTAGATAAGACTGGATCATGAAACTCTCTCAGCTAAGACTAAGACTGAGACAGTTACCATGGCAATTTTAGAATGATGTAATCATGTCCGGTCAGTCTTAATTGAGGAGAATAGTTTAGTAGCAGGCACCGGCTGAAATGTTCTAAACAAGTCAACTGACGCTTTTATCCTTGTTGCGGTGAATTTTAGTGTCTTTACGGTTGGGATGTTTTCGAAAATACACCAACACGAACGCCTAAGTGCGCTTTCTGCCATATTGCATTGGACAGTGTTTACAAAATCACGTTTCGCGAAGGCCGGTATTGAGACGCCTATTACATCACATATATTTCATATTCAGCTGCGACAAATGCATCACTGAAGTCCTCATACATTTTAGTATCAAATAAGAAATGGTCTTTATCACTAAAACCAAGTGTCTAGCTGATAAGAAACGAAAGATCTATGGGGCATGAAAACAAACGCTGCGCGAAATACAGCACTTGTTGAAATGTAAACACAGAAAAATTCAGACTTTACACTGAGCATGCATAGGCTCAATACTTTTAGAACATACATGGAAAGAGTATCGTAGCAAGAAATAGCAAATTAAAAATAGATGCAATATAGTAATGTGATATGTTAATACAAAATTGTCAAAGTTTCTGTGCAGCGTGACACCATGACTGACGGAAAATCTCCCAAAACAACAACGGTAATGATCGGAATATCTGGCTTTTTCTCTTACTTACAATGAAAACGATAAAACATGTAACAATACACAGATAGTCAGAATCATTCCGATTACTTACATCACACATTTATGTACAAACAATCCCCGAATCGAAGGAAAGGTCCTCGCAAAATCCTGTGTACCCATGTCACCGAAGCCGCCATTTTGTAAGAAATCGGTCAACGTTAGTGATGTCATATGCCTCAACATTGTTGTTACATATTTGGCAATTTCTTTGAGGTGAAGGTCGGTTGAATAAGAGTAAACACAATCGCCATGTTCCACCGATTACACTTTCAGTGTATATTTTGAGTATCTTTCAGATATTTTTTCATGAAACTAATTTCATTATCTACATTTAGCCTTGCTCTATATCATATCCTTGGATATAGGGTATACGTTTTTCATTCTTTCAAGGGTTTTGTTTGTTTGAATAATATTTACATAAGAAATAGATATGTGGGCATCTCGGGGGTTAAGTAATAAATTAATATAATAGCTTCATAGCGGGTGGGGTAGGTTAGGTAGTTGGGTGGGCGGCTGACGTAGTACCTGCCTTTGTAGTCCTATGTGTAGAAGCTTAGGCCCATGCGGACCTCGTGGCCGGGGAGACAGGACGATGTCACGCTTCTTGCATGCTCCGCCATCTTGAGTGGCAGAGATGCAAGGAGCGACCACGAGTCTTGTATCAAGACCAAATTAAGTTTCCACTTATTGTTTATTGTTTTTAGGGAATGTCGTGTTGATTTAGTGATAGCTTGGGGAGGGGGAGAAATAGCATAAGAATAAGTAGGTTTTATCTTCTTATTTTCGGGAGTAGGCATAAGGGGTGGACATAATCAACAGTTTATTGTATGTTGAGTAGGATTTAGGTAGGTTTGGAGGGGGAGAAATACGTAGGATTGTTTGTTGGCCTTGATCTAACTTTCTCATTCATTTATTTTTCCAATAAACAAGAATGGAAACATAATACTCTTTTGTTGTGACTTTCATTGAGTTTAAGTTGGGAAAACCTGTCAGGAATCACTCACACAGAACCCGCAGACAAGACGTACTGACCACGCCAAGAGACCAATTCTAAAAACACAACGCAAAGCATAACATCTCAGTAGCCAACTGACACTTGTCATACATCCGCAACTTTCTGCTGTCACTGGGCGTCTATTTTACACACTCACGCGCTAGGCGCCTATTACAGATGTACTGAGTGTAGTACACCATATCTTAAACCCTTAATTATTAGAACAAACGAAGGAGTAACTGCAACATGTATGCTGGGACTCTCTATTATCGCGGCACGCGAAAACATCGGGAAAGCAGAAACACCACGTCCCGCATCGGCTGTTTACATATGCAAATTACGTAAAAAATATATTCATCGCTCTTGAAAAAGTCATTTATTTCATTTGAATGTTATGTGTAATCGGAGAAATATTAAAGCATTCATCTTTTCAGTAAGTTCTAGAACATTTTGAAACTAGCATGACCCCTACTGCCATTACATCTAGCATGAATCAAAACTTACTTCACCAAAAGCAATCCTGCAACAACTATAAGGTAATTTGCGTATTAGCCGTGCTAAAAATATAACAGGAAGTGACGTATTGATGCAACTTCACTCTGCACACGGCAGCAACTTGTATGGTACGTTTTAAGCCGGAAAATGATGATATTACTAATGTGAATGAAATTCCTAAATATTTTTAAATGATCAAACTATTAGATTCGTTACTTGTCTTAGTAAACGGTTCACAGTGTCATCTGCTTGTACCACATGCCATAGTAAGAAAATAGCAATACCGCGATAATAGAGACAATCGGAATTGCCGCAATGGTATTAAACGAGTTGCGACCATGTGTCATATTACTTGTGACAGAAATGAAGATTAAACATCAGTCAACTGAAAATATATATAAAATGCTTAATGTGAGTAGCCGTTCATTATCCCGATGGCGACAACATTAACTACCACGATAATAGAGGGTCCCATGATACTTGTGGCAGACTCAAATATATATATATATATATGTACATAGGTTTTAGTTAGGAAGATTATTATAAGTATCAAGGTGGATGGCATTGTTTCCACTTAATGACTTACTCTATTAAACAATAAGAACACCTGTAAGAATCTTAGTAACGTTTTATACTTTATTTTATTCTAATTCCTTAGCTCTGCATAGTAAGCCTTGTAAATCTCAGTCTAACCTCCACTAATTGTCACACTGCATGCTTCCAACACTCTTTGCTCCAGCTCTCAGTCATTTCTATTGTTTTACTGATAGGCCAAGCTGGCCACAGCTTAACTACAATGTTCAGATTTTAAACTCAGATGCTGTTTGTACTGTTGAAGGAGACATATAGCCAGAGTCATGGGAATTTTATGACGATTTAAGGTTGGTTCATATTGTATAAAATGTTGTATATGTCAGGGTAGAGACTGCGATCTGGTAGAATCGGAGATTCTACCAGTAGAGATTGCGATCGGAGTCTCTACCAGTAGAGACTGCAATCGGAGTCTCTACTGGTAGAAT